GATGATATCTTCAATTCTCTAATTTTGGTGAATATTTTTGTAATTTTTGGTAAAAAGTGATATTTTCGACTTCTTGTTAAAAACAGCAAGTCCCATTGCATTGATACTATTCATATTGTTCATTTTCTAATGATGTCTTCAGTTCTTTAATTGAAATGTGCATTGCTAGCAGCGGAGCTATCTCAGTCGACAGGGTGCTTGTTTCTTTTACTTTGCAACCTGACTATTTTGCTACATATTGACAGTTGTTTAAATGTATTGTGTTTATTTACATACAGTGTATCAGTGGAACAACAAGACAATAGAATGAAAGTACATTGTAGATCTATAGATATCCTACAGGTATGGATTGAAGGTTTCTATCAAGTGGATTTCAGACCAGATATTGAACTTACACAAAAACTAGTCAGTTTCATCAAATATAAGGTGAGCTTATGGAGTGATGTGACATTCAGTTAAGTCAAATCATATATACATATATACAAGTTGGAATCTGATATTTCAACAAACAAGCTGCTCTCTGATTGGTCTGACCAATATGTTTTAGAGTGTGAAAGTAGCTTTGTATTGACTCCCTACAGACAATATAAATATTGTACTATTTATAGATAATACATGCATACATCACCACACTGACTGATCATGTTGTACATATGAACATATATTTGTTGCTTGATAAGCATTTATGTCATTCCAGAACTGTATATTGTTGTATAGAAACAGATTTTGTTCAAACCTTGTACATACATTAGACATTATGATGCCCTTCTGTGTGTTTTCTAGATAGAATTCAAAATGGCCACTAGTTATCAAATTTCACACATGCATATAGACTGAGACTTTACCCATCATGCCTCTAGATTTACATATGTACAGGTACATAATAGTCTATGATTTATTACAGGTGGTGCCCGTGGATCCACAAGGAGAATTCCTTTTACAGTTGTTAGAAAAACATCAAAATGAAGTAGAGGAAAAAACGGATGGTGTATTTGTTTTTGATGACTCCTCTGTTGGTGATGTGGATAAGACGCTGAAAGGTGCTGAAAGAACACCGCCAAAAAAAGTAAGTTTGAAAGAAACCACAATCTTAAAAAGACATTCATCACTCTTGTCTTCTTGTATGCTGTGTTTTTCAGAATGTAAATTATATGATAATTAATCTTTGCTTGAACTCCCGCAAATATCATGAATCGCATAATCCTTATACAGCATACACAAGGTGAATAGAACACCGTGGCGTCAACAACGCAATGATATATTTATACATGTATTCAATGTTAATTCAGCAATAGTTCCACTGTCAACACTGCCATTTCACCATGTCATACTGTGGAAATATGCATTTGATAAATATCTTATAGTGATGTTATTAATAATTCAATTTGCTTCTATATTCAGGCACATTCTTTCAGAATTGCTCTGGGCTTGCCAAAGAAAGCACTGTCTATCTCCAAGAAGGAACGCAGTAAAGTTGGTGTGACATCATGTCTGAGTAAAGAGAAAACTAAAGGCCAGGCATCTGGAGTGTATCTTCCAACACAGTGTATGGAGAAAGATTGGTTTTCACTCAGTGAGCATCTCACTCAGTCCTTGGCATATCAACTCACACTTATGCAGCAGGTACATTGGTTATGTTCATCTTAAAGATAACTATTCTCATAATTTTGTTTATTTATCATAGTTCTTGATCTCAAGTCTATCATTCTGTTTTGTCCAAAAAACAAACTTAAAGTTTGAAAAAGTCATAGAAAATGTTCAAACATTTTATCAGCAAATAATCTAGTTATCAGTGATTGAGATGTTTGATGTTTTTAAAATTTCATTTTTTTTATTTATGTTTACATTACTGCTGTATGATATGTTTAAACTGTGTGTTTCAGGAATTGTTCCGGAAAGTTCATCCCATCCATTACATGAATTCAAGAGCACATGGTGTTGGAGTGGATAGCACATCTAACTTCACATTCCGAAGAGTATCTCAATCATTAAGTAGTAGTCGAGTTGATTTGGATCAGACAGATCAGGGAGATCAGATGAATTTAAGCAATCTATTCAAAGATCATTTACATGATAGTCACCTGATTCTTACATTACTGGACTATTCTAGAAGTGTCTCACATTGGGTATCATCTGAGGTGTTGTGTTGCAGCTCTACAAAGGTCAGTCATCTACTGTAAAAACTATTTAATTAGTGGATTATTAAATTTATCTACTAGTATTTAATTCACAAGCTGTCATCGCTGTTTAAATTGTATGTTTTTAATTTGCATTCAGTAACAGTGATACACAAAATGTGACAAGGCAAAAATAGATTAATACAACTATTGCTCTGAGTGATGTGATGTGATGTTTCCTGACTGGTTTTATACATGGCTTGTCACCAATTTTTATGTGGCTTGCTATTGCTGTGGCAACATGGACAAATACTGGTTATTGTCATGGTAATTGTCTTAATAGTATTTCGGCTATGTATGAATTAATTCAGTGACAATTTACATCAGAAATGCAACTTTCTTTATTTTGTTGTAAAGTCTGGACAGTGAGTTGATGTTTTCAGCATATGTGCTACTGTAGAATGTGATGCAATGTGACAAGTCAACAATGTACAATGCACTATCTATTTATATTCAAGAATTACAGTACTCAAATGTTTATCATGTCTAAATTTTGTGAGAACACTCGCGCCTTCAAATGCTGGTCTAACAACTGGAATAACACTGAAAACTTGCATAGATATCACTTTTCAATTACAAATTTATTTTGTCTATTATTAATATATTTCTCTTTTAATTACAGGCACAGGTTGCAATTGTGACTAAATTTATTTACCTTGCTAAGATGTGTTATGATGTAAGAAACTATGATACTTCAGTTCAAATACTAGATGGCTTAGAAAACCTTATTGTTAGACAAGTACCGGTAAGAAATATTATATATCAGTTTTAAACTTGGTGCATTCAAAAATAGTGAACATCCATAATGTGCTTTCTGTGTGAACTTTCCATACAATACAATAATAAAACATATTGTATTCCTGCTCTAATGTTTAAGCTGTGATTAGCCTGACAGTAAAGTAATAATGGACTACTGTAAATCGCTTAATTCATAAAGACAAAATGTTATGCAAGTCCCTGGCACACTCTGTGGCTAGAGAAATTGTTACTGCAGACCAGTATTTACAGTATAAATGGCTGTAGTTTTTCAATCGACATCTAAATTTATTGCAATTTAAAAAGTTGTCTTGTTTAACAGTAGAAAAAAACGTTTCTGTATTGTAATTGTCACAAAATTGTGGTTTAATTTTGAATTTTTCTAAAATTTTGACAAAAAAAACCCTGATCATAAAAAGGTTTACATGATGTGCTTGATGATCAGAAATGGGGTTTAAAAAAACAAAAATTACTTTGTTGCAGGCTTGGCGTAACATTCCATCCAAGGCTTTGAACATAATGCAGGAATTGATTGCTGCCAAGATGTTCCTACAAAGTGACAATCAGTGTTTAGTTGAAGGTGAAAGTCATCGTGATCAACCAACCCTGCCATGTACATTTCTATTTTTGATGCATATACAGCAGCTAGAGATTGGTAGCTTTACACTTGCCAATGGAATGTACAAGTGGACTAAAATGAAGTGAGTGTGTCACAATTTGTTTATTTGAAATACTGACAAATACAAGCAATACATGCTGCTTACTTCACGTAGTCTTTCTTTTTATAATTCGGTCTCCTTCGTCTGTGCGTTCGTGTGTCGGTCCGGAGTCGTATCTCAGAATCCCTTGGACCGATTCCGTGCATTCTTTTCATGTGCCTAGTACTTTATGTAGGACATATGCACATGCAGTGGTTTAGCAATTCGATTCAAAATGGCCGACTGGCAGCCATCTTGTTTTTTGAAAATGTTGTATTTTGGACATGCTTTGTCAGTTGTCATTCAAACTTGGTACATGGATTATACATGTTAGGATACATGTCCATGATGATTTATTTTGCAATTGGATCAAAGATGGTCGACTGGCAGGCATTTTGTTTTTGTTTTTTTTATTTAGTATCTTGGACGTGCTCTGTCAGTTTTCATTCAAATTTGGCACATACATGTACTTTATACATATACATGTTAGGATGCATGTCCATGACAATTTGTTTCAAAATCTGGTCAAGGATGGCCGATTGACAGTCATCTAAGTTTTTGGCAATACTACATGTACTATATTTCCACAATTTATGTACCATTTTCATTCGTATTTGGCACATACATCATACATATCAGTGTGTTTCATAATCAGATCAAAGATGGCCGAATAACGGCTGGTTTTATTTTTGGCCATATTATTACTACATGGAACATGTGTTGTGATGTAAATAAACAATCTGTTGTATACGCCACTTGGAACTCAAGTTTCAAGGACACGCTCGCGACAACCCCTCCGCTTTAATATGACGAGCACAAAGAGAACTTAATTTAACAGGGACTGTGTCATTTTCAATGACTTGTTCATCAAGTCATTAGTGTTCCTATTTCAATATAGATTGACCTCTGTGCATCCTTCCCTATCTGTATCTGTTAAATGCCTGCAATGATTGCGTTCATGCATACTTCATACATCTTGTGTATTTGTTTTGCAATCTCATTCAAGATGGCCATCATAAGACCCTGATAACAATTAAAATCAAACCAAATCCTGTCGTTTATGGACATATTTCATTGAAACTTGATACATATATTAAACATAATGGATTCTTGATACATGTAATTATGTTTCACGGATTTGATTAAAAATGACAGATTGGTGGCCATTTTGTTTGAGCAAATGCTGTTGCACAGCACTTTCAAACCTAAAAATGCTTTACAAACTATAACAGTCTAGCTGCATGTACATGTACTTTTATATTGACTTAACCGATAAGGGTTAAAGATCTATGTTTAGTTACAATATGCAACATAAGATGTTGAGAACAATTTTCAACCTTATCAATTGGTTAACAGACAACAAGAATTGATGTGTCTATTTACTGATATAACTGATTATTATTTGCCAGGTGTATTGCAAGACTAATTGATCAAATCAGAGTATTTAAGGAACATCGATTCTCTTTTGAGGCTGACCCAGAATTACAGTTGCTTCTAAGACAACGCATAATGGAATTTCAGGATCAGGATTTACATTTGTTAGCGGTGCAGCAATCAACCAATTTCCATCACTTATCTGGGGAGAAAAGCAGTCGTAAATTTCATGATGCGTTAAAGAAAGTCAGAGCTTCCTTGCAGTAGTTCATCTACTTTGCTTTCTTTAAAGTCTTTCATCAACCATAGTACTGAAGTCATTTCAAGACTTGCTCAGCATTATTTTATTGGTCACCATAGCAATATTTTACCAAATAAGATGTGACCAAACAATGTTATTTAATATAACAGTATCTTTCATTGAGGATGCTGTCTCATAAACTAGTGTTTGGTTTCTTTGATACAGTGTGTCATATATATTTTCTTTCCAAGAAATCAAAGTTGATATCTTTGAATTGTTGTTGCTTTTGGGGAGGGGGGTCCACAATGAGACTATATCTGCAGCTGATGAAAACACTGACTTGCAGTTGTACTTATCTTTTCAAACTACTGTAGAATACTTTATTTTCGCTTGGAATTTATTTTCGCTATTTTCGCTGAAAGGATGCTTCCGTGAAAATAAAATCCAGCGAATAAACTTTTTTTCCTATATTTCAAATTAAACTCATCAAAAAATCAGTGAAAATAAATTCCATGTACAAAACGCCCAAAAAGCCTTTTCAGCGAAAATTAATTCCAGCGAAAATAAAGTATTCCACAGTACTCTATAATCCTGTGTGTGTTTTACATGTCAGTTTCACGAGTAGTATTTACAATTGACAGGAAGAAGAATAGACTGGATGCAGTCAGTTAGGAACACATACACCAAATACTTATAATAATAAATATTTTTATTCAAACTTGACTTAATTTGTATATATTCAGAGATGAATTGATGATTTTATGTATTTTTTCGGAAGATAATTTTATTAAATTATTTCTTTGAGTCTCAAATATAAAAAACTTGTTTGTTTTATGGAGCTCCATGGTTGTTATAATTTTTTTTTTCTTTAAGAAATGTAAATGTGTGTATATGTATTATATATATATTACAAAAATATACTTATAAAGGCTGAATTTTGATTTGGTACTTGACTGATGCCACATGTTTTAGTTACTGCAGGAAGCAAGATTTAAAATAAAACCATAAATATTACTAAAAATAACTAGAGTGGTTTTTAGTTGCAGAATGACACAACCAATACCTTTGAGTGTGATATTCGATCAATGAAGATGAACTTGTTTCTGTACACATGCATCAGGTTTTTTTGTTTAATTTGTTGAAATATTTTGCATCATTTGCATGCATTCTGTCCAGATAAAGTTGTATTCAATATCTACCATTCCTTCCATGTATTTCAAAATCTGCAATTCCCTCCATATATTACTGTATGTACTGCACTAAATCCATCCAAAACTGTTATAGCATTTTCAGGAATATTTTATTCATAAACAGGTTTTATTATATACCTTCCTTAAACGTTGTGTTGTGTAAAGTACTCATGTTTGTCTAGTCTCCTGTACACAGGATATGATGTATCTTGTCATTAAATGGGAAACAAGGGAACAGAAGCGCAGCGCCCTCATGCCATGCCCATGCGCCCCCTTACCCTGGGGAGCAGATCCTCTGGCAACCATAAAATTCTGATTGTGGCCACAGTCTCCAACTGTGACCTGTCTGATAGTAATTTTGGCCCCAAGTAAGCTATGGAATGCTCCATTTTAACTTAGAATTATCAAAAATTCCACACCCTGATAGGGAGAAAATTATCAAAAACTCCACACCCTGATAGGGAGAACCCTATCTCCCCCACTTGGTGGCACCGCTGAATTGCAGTGCTCCCTCTTGCATTTTTTTTATATAGAAAAACCCCTGACAACTATCAGTAATTTTAATGTAATTTGAGCTATTTTGAATAATGTACTTATTATTTCAAAGTTTTTAAATACCGGTTTTCCATCCACTGTAATCTTGGATCTATCATGCACAAATGTTGAACTAGATAGAAATATTAATCTTCCCAACTTTTAAAATTTTTTATTTTTCTATCAGAAGTTTGTATAATTTTGAAATCCTACTAAATATTTATGTGATTTTTAATGAAATATTGATAGTTTCAACCCTACTTTATGGAGAGATATAAATATTATGCTATTATTATATTCTCTGTGTGAATAAATTAAGATATTACCATAATTCTGAATTTGAAGTCTTTGATATGTAGACACATGTTATTAGTATTGAATCCATAGTAGAACTATTTGACATGTTGTAACCCTTGATAGCCAGGTTTACAGATTCACTCACAGCATTATTCTTAGATTGTGCTGCATTCAAATTTTGCACTACTGAGCATGTTACTGCACATATATGCAATGTATTATGGGAGATAACTTTTCATGTTATGTACAGGAGAATTATTACTGAGTATAATTGGCCAGTGACCCCTTTTGATAAATCCACATACCTTAGCGGATATAGCATATACAGATACAAATTGGATTCACTGTTGCAGTGACTTCAAGCAGTTCTTTTTCACAGCCAGTAGTGTTCTGTAAATTGCTTCGACTAGACTGATTGAGTAGTAGATTGTGTTTTGAAGTCTGCCATGTGAATTTCAATGTTGGATACATTAGCCCCAATTTGTGTGAAGCATGAACAAAAGGCCTACATGTATATATTGACCAATTTTTCTATATTCATGTACAACAGCAGTGCACTGGTTGCAGATTTCAACCAAACTTGATATGAACATCACACGTGGTTTGTTGGTGCATGTTTAGCTATTTTTATGAACTTTTTGGTAAAATTTTTAGCTCTACAGATCATAAGGCCACTGGGCTATACCGATGATGCTGTATCTGCAGTCTGGATGTCTAAATGAATATATGTGGGTCACAACTGTAAAACGTGTATTAGAAGCCACAGTTTCCATTAAAATGGTACAATGCAACAGAGGGATGTGGTTTGAATTAGAGCATATGAAAAATGTAGAATCTTTGGTTCTCAATTGTTCAAAGAGAATAGGTGTGTTTTCCAATATAGATTTTACGGTACTTCCAAAAAAATGATGAACCATTTGACTTGATTTTTGTTGCCTTAGAATTTGTTCATGAGAAGTAAATCTGTCACGAATTGTGCAATTAGGTACTAAACACTATTAAAATGCTGAAATTTGTTAGAACAAATGACACTATTTATCTACAGTGCTGATATTAGTAGTGTATTGGATTGACCTTTATCAGTTTTGTTTTTTTGGCAAAAAATCTTTGACTTCATGAAAACTACCAACTCCATCTTTTTTATGTTAGGTATGTTTTCACTTTAGGTAAACTTATGGCAGCTTAGTTCATTTTGTAGCGATATCTTCAAATTCTATTTTTAGCAAATATATTTTTGTCATTTTGCTAAATAATGCTATTCCCGACAACTTCTTCAAAATACCATCTCATTTGCTTTGATACCTCTGGTTTCTTGATTTTGTGACCATTTTTTTTATTCTCTTTTTTAGCAAATATTTTTGTCGTTTTTAGTAAAAAATACTATTTTCAATGTTTTCTTCAAAAAAACTAGCTTAATTACTTTGATACTTGGTTTGGTTTGTACGAAGTTTTTAACAATTAGAAATAGCCATAGCAATAACCATACAAAGTGACAATATATCACCATATAGAATATTATCAAATTGTTTTGAGGAAGACACTCTACACAGACAGTGGAGCTGTGGTCCATTTGGTCATCTTTTTTGTATTTGTTTATATAGCATGTTCTTTGCCTGCAACGAGTGCAGTAATTTGCATATGAAAAGATGTGTAATTGATTGCTGTGTGCAATGGGAGTTGTTGCATTTCATCTGTGTATGTAACTGTATTTATCTGTCTATTTGTATGTGTTCTACCAAAATCTCAAGAACCAATCTTTCGATTTCAATGATACTTTGTGACAATTCACAGACCTCACAAGGTTTCAGTGGAAATCTCTTTATGTTACTAATATTGGTATATGATATTGTTAAGTGATAGAGGGAGTATACTATATCACCTACCAGAAAGTCCGTGGAAATAATAAATTCCATTTATTACTCGTTAGGCTTAACTACAGATTACAACCCTGATCGGAAACTATTAAGGAATATACCCTGTTCACAAAGAACACCTTAGGGTAGCATTCCCTATAGAAAAAGGCCTCTCTTAAGGGGGTCACCCTCAAAATGCTCACACTCGTGAGGCCTGATCTGACCATTCTCTCTTGTTTCTGCGACCAACGAGTACAGATATTTTTCAGCTCCATTGCGACGCATGGACAATAGTGCAGGTTACAGTTTTATGACTGAGATTACCTAGGAATCTAGTGTTAGTGATCAACTCCATTATGGTAAAGGCTTTCCATTATTATGGGCCACCTTTTTTACCTGTGTTAGTTGAATAGCTGGCTCAGTTTTTATTCACCTGATTCTGAATTCTCGTGCTTGTTTTTTCACTATCTCATTCTCGTAATTTTTTCAGACTGCAATATGCCTAAGTCGTAAAAAAGAAGTATGTTCTGATTCAACAGTCGGGACATAAGACATGCTCATCCTGCCTTAAACAAATGTTTATGTCAGGGACTTGGGGCATTGCCTAGAGGGTCTCGGCAATCGATGGGATCCTAAAAGGTAGTTGCATTGGGGGAGGTGGAAAGCTGAAGGCTAGCGATTGAAAGCTGGTAGTCGCAATAAAAGGGGGAAATCCCCGGCCGCAAGCTAGCTATGTAATGTCTCTCCCTCCACTTGGTATTTGCTGAGATTGTTGGAGAGTTGTCAAGATCTGACTCCCTGCCCGAGGTAGCTGGGTCGATGATTGAGACAAAACCTTCAGAATTGTTTACTGTTGAGGTAACAGAGATGTCGGTCGATAGTGCGGGAACACTGGCGGTGGATCTAAATTCTCCCAACGTGGAGTTAGTTTCCCCACTGGATATTACCGAGGCTAACCAACACCGCCAAACGCTTTTGCTTGGAGATCGGAGTTTCCAGTCACCACGGTGACCGATGTTGATAAACAGCGGGTTCCCACTGGGGCGCTGACATCAACAATGAGTTCCGAGGTGGAATTGGCACGGCCTTCAGAGACTGAACCGAGACTTTTATCGGTACTGATGCAGCCGGAGTGGATTGCACAATCACAGGGACAGGTCCTGTTGCCTTCATTTACCGGTACTAGTCAAGGTGACCAGTTCTCCCATGGTGGATGCGTAATCTGGCTTCAAAAGTCAGCTCCCTTCTGCAGTCTCAAGGTAGGACTCGGGTGGACCGGGGAGGCACAAGTGAGTGAGGGGGGGCACGGGCTGAGATACTGCCTGTCCCTCGACCACCAGGGCTAGGGTCAGGTATGTACCATTCTTCCCGTGATCTCTCCTTTAGAGGGTCAGTGGGGGGGGGGGGCTCGGGCAAC